TTGCTAAGTTATTCTTGTTTAAAGTTTTTAAAAAACTTATTAAAAAAAATTTGCTTGATTTCTATTGACTCAACCCCATATGATCTCTCCAACCTCTAATATACTATCATTGTTTATTTGGCAAAGCATAATCCAAATAAGCTTGTAGAAGATTCTATTTCGGTAGATGTGTTTTAATTTGGAGGAGTAAACACTGCTGATCTTTTGGAGGAGGTATGCCGATTTTCCCACTTTTTGGCCAAAATTTCAAAAAAATTCCAAAATAGTGAAAATATAGTAGAAGGTCTTTGGTTGCAGGTACTTTCAAAACTTCTAAAGAGTGTGTTAAAATTCAAAATTTTTGTTGTTTCCTCTGTGTTCTTCTTTAAAGTAATAGCCTAAAGCTTTGTTAACAAAGTAGCAGCCTACTATATAACTTACTACCTTCGCCAAGATTTTTTATACAAGAGCACCAAAGTGGCAAGCCTCTGCCAGTTAGCTTGTACAATAATGCTTCTGGCTTGTATGCCAAATGTTCTTTTAGAGGAGTCTTTTAGAAAAGCAGTTGACTTTTAGACAAACCATACTATAAAGCTATGTTTCTTCAACAAAAGTTTTGTTTTTTGTTAGTTGAAATTTTGGTACAAGTGAATTAAGCTTTTTTGAAAACATATGTTTAAGTTTAAATTTTAAATACTCGATGTGTACAAATCTTGAATTTTGATTGGTTGCTTATATTAAACCATAATTATATTTATAAATACTCATTTTATCAGACTGATCTGTATAAAAATAATTGTACAATAAAAAATTATTATTTGTTATACTAGTACAACTAAAAAATTCTAGAGTTTTTTATTTTCTAATTCATAGTATATACAGTAATAAAACCTCCTTCAGACTTTTAATAGTTTCTATTTATCTAGTATATTTACTATATCTGTATCTGTTCAGAACCTCAAAGATCTCTGATACAACCTAGATTTAAGTTTGTATAAAATTTATATAATTTTAGCTAAATAGATGTATAAAATAGAACAAATTTACTATATAAAAATGCAATATTTCCTTTTTTGAAAATATATAAGTTGTATCAGAGTTCTTTGGGGTTCTATCTGTTTTGTAAATACTACAGTATATGATATTTAAAGACTATACAAAGTTTAAAAGCCAATATTTTTTGATCTAAAAAAAATATTTAAAAAAAGAAGCTACAATTTGTAGTTTAATCAGTTTTCTACAACTTAGTAGCTTTATTTTTTAAAAAATTATAATAACTTTTTAAAGTATATGGCTTTAAAAATATAGGCTTGGTGCTGAAAAAAGTGACCAAATTGACAATTTTTTCAAAAGCTATTTTTTTATATAAATTGATTTAGAATAAGATTAGAATTATTTTTTATTTAAAACACAAAAATAGTTGTATTAATAAAATTTTGCTATATTGCTCTTTAAAGTTTGCATTTTTTTATGATTTATTATAAGATCTACAATATAAAAATTGATTTTTCGAAGGGTGTGGTGACATAGTGAAGTGGTGGAGTTGTCACACCCCCAAGTTTGTTGGCTATAAGTACTGAGTTCGAATCCCACTGGTGACGTTTTGGATAATTTACTTGTGCTATGGTGATGGTTATTCTAAATTAGGCTGGGGCTTTGTTATACTGTAGTTCATGCTATAGTACCCTGTAAACTGGGGCATACCAATGTCTTGTGGTGCTGGGAGACATGGATGTATTTGTGTTATTGCACAAAAAATGCAAACCAGTATAGGTGGTGCAAACCCATGATTAGTCATCCTGATCAATGTAAGACCTACAGTAGCTTGAAGAACCGAAACCGGCTTGGCAAATTTCGATTAAGGAAATAGTAGATTAATCTAACCAAGTGTGATCTAATACTACAGAACAGATCTGACTGGACTCCAAAATTGAAGAAGTTGTACGACAAAGATCTTTCAGGCAAAAGAGATCTACCAACCTGGCTGCTAGGGACATCTAACAATGACTTTTGAAGGAAAAGGTTACATGCTATGAAATCATGAACTAGGAATTAACTACTAGACCTGAGTCTAGAAAACTCAGGTCCGGCAGACCAATTCTTCTGGGCTTTCTGAATTTGGAAGTATGGTGATACCAAAGAAGTAGGGTGCAAAAAGTGATGGAATGTAGTACAGGGATCTGTGAACCTTAAAAGAGTAGAAGTAGGTAATGGTAGAGGTTTAATGGTTAGCCCTAACCCAAGTATATAAATTAAGGCATAGCGTAAATTACTGAAGTCTAGGTGAATACATATATAAGAATGTACTACTCTGGCAAGTTTATCTCAAGAATAAATCAGAACATACAGTCCTATTCTAAGTTTGGCTATTAATTTAGTAGTGTCATATAGATCCATGATATCTTGATACGCATAGTGAGATTACACCCAGGTCTTAAGTCCCACATAGTGAAATTAAGGATATGATTAGAGAGTTTAAATGGATACCCCCTAGTTGGGGTACAGATAGTGTAAAACCTTCAGGTGAACTATTTAAATTAGGCACTCAAAAGGTGCATGTGTGGCTATATGTACTTTTGTTGTATACTGAAATAATACATAATGATAATAAATTGCTGTTGGCAAAGAGGCCACCTTAATATTAAAAAAAAAAAAAAATTGATTTTCCAAAGATCTTTTGTTTTGTCAATTTGGTTCCTTTTCTTAGCACCTACTATAGCCCATATAATCTTTTTATATGATTTTATATGAAAAAAGTCAAAAATAGGACATATTGAAAAAAATAACTAATCAAATTGGTTTAAATTTATCTAATAAAATTTTAAACCTATTTTAACCAATCAAAATTAAGTGGCTATAAAAACATCAAAAATCAATGTTTTATAACAAATTAAAGTTTTAAATTTTAAATTTTAAAAATAGGACAAATGTAGCAGCTTTTAAGTGTCACACACTATAGAAAGTAAAATTGCTTAGATAGACTAGGAAACAGGAGCTGTTGAAGTCCGACGCCTTAACCTTGTTATTTATTGCTAGCCATGTGGATAAACGATTGCTATCAACCAATCAAGGCCTAAGTCGATGTTATGTTACTCAGGTAAAAATTAAATTAAAATAAAAAAATTCACCAATCCGGATTACCCGGATGGTGACTTTTTTTTATCTAACCTGATTTTTGCCTGGGTAACTTAATATCCGCTCAATCAATATATCATTGCATCATTTAGATTATCTTACTAATATCGCAAGGAACCTCCATATATATTAATTTAATCGGCAACAATTAGGTGATCATTTTGCATCAGCGATAATCTGTAAATGATTCATTGTACTCACCCATTCATGATAAGTTAATAACGACTACTGAAGCTATTGTATCATTTGGCTCAATTTGCAAGTGATTTCCAATATTCACCCATGAATATACACATGCACCTAATGCCTATTCTTACGATAAGTTTTATTTACTAAACTCTTATAACTACAAACTAATGCTAACCCTAAACACAAACTAATGCTAATCTTAACTCTAATCCTAACCGTTAAATGCTGGTATGCAACGAACATTTTAAACTACACTAACACAACACTACCAGTAGCAATAAATTGAACAAAATGAAATACACCTACAAAGACTCTAGTAGTAAGACACCGAACGTGACGAAATATAGCAGCGATTTTAAAATTATAATACCGAAGGTGACGAGCACCAGCGATGATGCCAAAACGACAGAATTATGAAATCTCCAATGAGTCGACTAAAGCCTGAAGTCTTCACAAATGGTGACACCAAAATGATCAAACTGCAAATTTCCACAAATGACGAAATTACACAGGCAAAGACTCCAACAAATAACGACTCCGACAATGGCAGCTCCAATAATGACGATTCAAGCAGCTACAAAACTGAGAAATGACTACAATAAAAGCAGTACTAAAAAAAGAACTTAGTAAAAGAAAAATTAATAGATGTAAACAAAAAAAAAGAAAAATACTTCTCTGTGTAATCTGCGATATCGCAGGTTGCAAAAAATAACTATATCAATATTTCCAGCATAAAAATCTTTATGCACTAAATTGGCTTCGTGAATTGTATTAAGCCCTCTAGTTATGTAATATACTGTAAGTTAGCTACTTTGGAAGCGCAATATAATTTACTATCTAACAATTATCCAAGACTTCCCTGCTTTGCATACTCTGTAACCATCATGTAGTTACAATCTTTTGGATTCTTAGTTATTCTATAAATCGCAATTACCGAATCGCCCTATGCTTATTTTGACACTATTTGCTTAAATTCAATTTTAAAGTTTATTAAACACCCTATTTTGATTGAGTCAAAGTTGTAGAAACTAGGGATTGGAACCGCCTAAAATTTTTCTTAATCGTTTAGTTTGGCCAGCATTAAAATAATTCTGGCCCATGCCCAACATAATTCTGGCCGGAACTATAGAGCAATTTTTAAACGGTTAAACGGTTCCAATCCCTAGTAGAAACTACTTACCATTCCAATAACTATTCAGTAATTCCGGTAGCAAAAATACGAGTATTTAATAATCAATAACACGAAAACTAAAGTAAAATTAGTGAATAATACCATCGAATTAACTTATCTCAATAATGCGAAAACTAAAGTCGAACTAATGAATGACTCAAATAAAACTAAATCCCTTAGATTTAGCAAATATCTCAAACTCAAGCTTCTACTTATCATTCCAGTAACTATTCTTCCATTAAGTAAAATACAGGGAACTATTCAGAATTCATACGCATAAAGTAAGCTCTGGGAGAGTAGTCGAGAATTTCCGAGAGATCTAACATCTCTGTTCAAACAAGAAAGTTTCCATGCTTATTAATAGTAGTCAAAATATGGTTACGCAAGTTAATTCCATTTTTAGTATAAAATTTTTAAAGTGTTCAGCTTACAAAGACTTGAGCTTAATATCTTCGATATATTAACATTTTTAATACGTCTTATAAGAAGGATTTATAAATTTTCACAATTCATTAGCACCTCCAACTCCGAGTTACCAGAACAATTTTCTATTTCTTCTTGTAATGATTGTTTTTGACTTTCTAAAGCTAAAAAAATATCATGGAAATCTGTACGAATGTACTATCTTGGCTTGCTTAAGTAGTGTTTGTGATTTAACAATACGAATAAGAGTTTGAAATACCTGTGGCTTAAAATAAGAATAAAATTGAGTAAATTTCAATGCACTAATTTTTGTAGTATGGTTTGCTAAGTTTTTTAATAATGTAACAACACTTAGTTGGCGACGGCTAATGATAGTACTTTCAAAGATATTTTAGAAGTAAAATATCACACACTCTGAAGAGATTGGATTATTTGCTTGAACACTTACAGCATTATAGTCCTCGGGATCTTTAATTAAATGTTTTTATAAATTAAATAACTAGATGATATTGTACTCTTTTTTTAAATGCCGAATATTATAGTAACATATTAAATATATTACTTATCTTATATCCACTTGAATCTATTTCAATAAATGGGGGTGAGTCAGTAGAAACGCACCATATTTTTTTAATGAAATTTTTTTGAATCTTCAAACAAAAATAACTCAGCAAAAACTTAACTAAATTTAGTAAAATTTTTTTTTAAAATAAATTCTATAACTTTTTAGAATTGGTTTGAAAAAAAATTTATTAAATTTAATTAAGCCGTTGTTGAGTTATTCTTGTTTAAATTTTAAAAAAAATTTACTTAGAAAAAATATGGTGCGTTTCTACTGACTCACCCCCATTTATTGGTCACATCATTGTTTGTCACATAACGTGTCGATCTTTATCAAAACAATCTAATTCTGGTCAAATTTGCAGATCATATCTCCGGATTTTCCATCCAAATGATCTGCAAATTTGGCCAGAATTAGATTGTTTTGATAAAGATCAAGTATGTAAATTTATATACTCTTAGGGTCATTTATATACTTTTAGAGTACATTATTATTAAATAATTGATCGGCTATATCGACTAATAGCCGTTTTAGCCGATCGGCTAACCGGCTAAGAGTCGATAACCGATTCGATTCGTAGTCGACCGTAGTCGACCGAACCCATCCCTATCCGTGCCCACAATTCATATAGCGAACGTACGTAAGATAATAAAAATTTTTTTAACGAAATCCTTTATGTTTTAGCTAAAAGGAAATGTGGCGGATCTCGAATAGGATTGCAAAAATACTGAAACATCTAATCATAAACTTTACGGCAAAGAAAGATTAGAGAGGGTTAACTATATTTTAGACTTGACATTAATAGTCGATTATAAGATAGATTATTTATAATTATAATATCATATTTAAGCTTTTAGATCATTCATAACATACCGTATTTGCGCGTAATAGCGGGCCGGGGCGTTATTTTGAGCCATTGCCCGAATTAAGCTTAATTTAGACCGAAATTCGAAATTACACCCCTGCGCGTTATTACGCGCAAATACGGTAATTAATTATACTTGAGTAGGGGTTTCAAAGTTAACAAATAAGTGACACATTTCGAAAATAAATAGGATTTTTCAATAGTATTTTTACTATGTTGAATTATAAATCGGATACTTGCATTGATACTCTGGTTTCGATAGAAGTCACATACACATACGTAACTATAAAAACAATTTTTGATAAAAAAATTTAACATCGTACAGTGCTCTAAATAAAGAAATAATTATGCACAAATGTACACATGTAAAATGGAGTAACGTAACTGCAAAGCAAATAGGTCAAAAAAAAAAAATAAATAAATAGGCCAAAAAAGGAAGATCATATAATGCGCATTTTTGGACTTTTTTCTGCACAAACTTAAAATTTTTACCTTTTCATTGTAGCTGCATTTACAAGATGACTTTAAAATTTTTTGAACAACTTTCCCAAAATTTTACTCAGCTTTTAGAAAGCGAATATGATTATAATGTGGTAATTGAAGTTGGTAATCAACAAGATATTCAACTTTTTAAAGCACATTCAGTTATCTTATACCAACGTTCATTATACTTTCGCCAAAAGTTTACAAATGCAATTAAGAAAAATAATGTTATTGAAATTAAATTACCCCATATTTCTGTTAAAATATTTAAAATATTATTAAGTAAGTTATACAGTAGTATAATTTTCAAATATTATTATGAAACGTTAATTCATATTCTTATTATATAGGTATATCTATGGAGGTGTAGTTTGTTTAGAAAATTTTGAAGTTTCAAATATATTTGATCTCTTAGTTGCCGCAAATGAACTTGAGCTTATGGAATTAATTGAATCCCTTCAATCTCACCTTATTAATAATAATTCATCTTGGCTTCGTTTGAATTTTTCTCGTGCTTATCAAATAAGTTTTCTTGGTGAAAATCTTAAGTTTTTACAGCAATTTTGCAATGATATAATTGCAAAATATCCATGCATAATTTTTAACTCTGATGATTTTACTACCCTTAATGAGAATGCTTTGATTACTCTTTTAAAAAATGATAGTTTACAAATAGAGGAATCAGAAATTTGGGATAATGTTATCATATGGGGAAAGGCAAAAATTCCAAATTTACCTCCTAATCTTAAAGACTGGACTAATGGTAACTTTAAATCATTAAAAGCTACTCTTCAACACTGTCTTCCTCATATTAGATACTTTCAAATTCCTGGCAAAGATGTATTAAAGAGAATTAAACCCTATCGAAGTATTCTTGAAGATAACCTGTGGGATGACATTATGTCAAAATTTGCAGATCCAGAAGTGCCTATCATTTCTCTCATTTTACCTCCTCGTAAAAAAATAACTGTACAACTTCCTCCTCGAAAAGCTTCGGTTATTACACCATCATCTTTAATACTGTAATCACATTACAGCATGCAGCGGAGATTTCATCATGGATTGATCGATGTTCAACAATTTATGATACTACAGAAATTCCATACGAATTTAAACTTTTACTTAGAGGCAGTAGGAATGGATTCACTGGTGAAGTATTTCATAGGTTATGTGATAATATACCTGGTACTGTTGTTGTTGTAAAGATTAACGATACGAACGAAATACTTGGTGGTTATAATCCTCTTATCTGGAAATCTGGTGGTGGATATGGAGCAACGGCTGATAGCTTTATTTTCTCTTTAAAAAATGGAAACCAGGATAGATCTATTATTAGTCGTGCAAAAAATACATCAGAAGCAATTTTTTATGGGAGCATATCACAAGGTCCATGGTTTAGTGGGTATGACCTCGGAATGGGAGATCTTTTTGATCCTAAAAAATGGCATTGCCAAAAGGATTCATATGATAACTCTATTAGAAGTATAAATGGATGGTTTATTGTAGATGAGTATGAAATATTTCAAGTTTGTAAAAATGTATAACAGCGTTTTACTAATTAGACTATTACATTATTAGCATATAAAATAAAAATCATAGTTAATATACCTTGATTAGCTGAATATGCAGTTGATGATAAATTACTAACACCTACATTTTAAATATTCAATACTTATAATTTCGAAGGAACTTAAATTCAAACAATAATTCATGAAGATTCAGTATGATTCCTATACACGGAATTTAAATTGTTGTACTTTTGAAAACGAATTAATCATCAAATATTTCATCTTTATTATGCTTTTATATGAATCTCACAAATAGCTGTACCATTCAATATATTTTGATTTTATAGATTCAAATAATTTCATCAATAAATTCAACAGTCACAAAATCTGCTGCAAAGTGCCGGAGATTCAGTTTATACTATTTGCACTTAAACTTCACGATATTGCATCATACGGGGTGTTAAATATTAAAACAGCCCATTTTTACAATATTCTAAAAAAAATTTTATTAGATTTTTAATACTCAATAAAAAGTAATAATACTAATAGTATAGTAAAAAGATCCTGTAGTCATCATCTAA